AGCACGGTTCCTCTATTGGATCTGTTGGTCAAGTGTGAGAACAAAATTCAGACGCGTATCAAAATCGGATTGAATTCAAAGATGCCGGCCCGTTTCCCTCCAGTAGTGTTCTACACACCAAAGGTAACGCTTCGTTTGATCATTAGCTATTGTGATTCGCCGCTTCGTTTGAATAACGTAATTCACACACTATCCTGTCAACAGAGAATAACCAAGCCCATAGTACAATATAAACTCTTTAAATGGGGCGACTTTCCATAGGGTAGGGATTTCAGTAGTCATTTTTCCCGATGTCCAGTTATCACTGAATCGGTTTATGTTTGCTTTACGGTTAATCGAATTTAATTTAATTGTTCATGTTACAAGAGGATTTTGTTAAGTATCCCATGTTGAATACAACTCTGCGTTTTAAGCGGTCTCAATATTTCTTGATCATTAGTCTTTTTTGGCGAACAGGGTCAACCTGTCATCGTTAAAATGCCTTGAAAGCATTACGCAGCTGTTTACTTATTCGTATTCGTTAGCAGTGCATATCCATCAAATCCACTTAGATTCGCACCTAGTCATGAAGAGCTGTTAATACGAACCCCTACCCACTTGTGTTCCGTTCCCGTTGTCGTCTGTTCGTATATTCCTTTCTGGACCGTTTACTCTGAACTATATACCTTTCCACCGTCTCAATGAGGGTTCTTTCTCCCACCTCTTTTGTTCTACTCACATATTTACATCGACCCTCATGCGTTTAGCATGCCCCCTTTTTTGAACCGTAAAAAGTTTGCGGATGCCCCTTTTTCCCCATTCTGTTTTGTTATTGTGCGAACACGATTGTTTTTCAGTGGTGCTCATCTGTATTATCACAATCTTCTCCCACCCGTTCTACTCATTTGCAAATGAAATCAAAACCTGCGAATTATTTCTCAGGGATTATTTTTCGACAAATACAATGTTGACTTGATAATCAGCAAATTGGCATACTGTTAGTATTTTCATTGCCACTCATTGTTGTATAAGCATCCCGGCTACTGCTGCTGTTGAAAACCACCTTCAACTCATAATTGTAAAAATTCTGAATCTATTGTTTGTTACCTACTCTCATCCGTCACAGGAACTTGGTGGCCTGGGCATGCTGAGTATGGGGCACGTTCTCATCCCTCAATCCGATTTGCGGTGGTCGAAACAAACCGACGTGGGCATTACACATTTTCGATCTGGAATGAGTCACGACGAAGATCAGGTTATCCCCAACTTATTTTCTTATATCCTTACGTGGGAAACAGAATTTCGTGACTCTCAGAGCGTGTGGGCTGAATATGCTTTGAAAAGACAGGAAGCAAATGCTCAAAATCGGTGAGTTAATCTTTTGATGCTGTGCTGGTCAGCTAAAGATGGATGGTCAGAAAATTTTTACCCCATAATATTACTAATGTTGCTCACTCTTCTTTTCTGTTTAACTTTGTCATAGATTTGATTATGGAAACAGCCCTGTCCTCCTGCGAGGATAGCGGCATCGATTTACTCCCAGGCAAAAAACTGATCTGAAGTATACAGACAGCATCGTACTGCTAAGTGAAGACCCAGGTAAGTTGCAGGCTTTTTCTGGGTAGTTTGAGTGCTCGTGTAACCATGTTTGGTGTACGTTTTGCACCTTCAAAGTGTAAAATGTTGCTACAGGACTGGGTTGCCCCAGTTCACAGCCTCACTCTATTTGGGGAAACAGCAGAGGAGTTAGGTAAATTTTGCTACCTGCAGCTTTATTTCACCTGGAGGACGTATCACAAATGAAGTGTCAGTACTCATACATACCTCTGACACTACTTTCTTTGGTCCTAGGGAGCTCTGCTGTCGTCCGGTTCAATACCAAACCTAACCTGTCGGGTCCTTCTGTGGCTCGCCACTCCAAGTCCCGGGTCTTGGGTTTCCGGTTCCCACCACTGAACAGCAGGTCGTCGTGACTATGGGGTCCACCTCGTCTGCTGTTCATCACACTTAGGGGTGTAATAAAAAAAGAAGTCTCAATTGCTATTTGCCAACCTCATGCACCTGCGGCGACATCCGACTGAATGTAAAGGGTCGACGAATGCTGCTTTACGATGCAGAGACTTG